ATCTTCAGAAAAAAGCTTCAAAAAACTATACAAATTTAAAGCACATTTTCTTCGCTCCACATTTTCTCACCATTTCCTTTATTTTCCAAAAACATTTAAGTATACTAATAAATATTTTCTCATTGATTTCTTTAAAAAAATTCAATGCTCAAATTTGCATTTAATATAGATTTATTTAATTTATTTATTTTCATAAAAATTTTTTTAAAAACTTGACATGGAAATGAAATCTTGAAATCTTGAAAATTCGAGAAATTGAAAGTGATGTTAAAAATATCACTTTTACAAATATTAACTGCTGTGGTAGAGGTTAATTAAACCAATATGGTGTATTCGTATGGTTCGGTAAAGCAGCATTATTGGATAAAATGTAAAATATAAAATATTGCTTAAATGATGCGACTAAATAGCGACTATAGCGACGCAGATAATCCGAAATATAGGACGACATATTAGCAATGATGAATTTATAGCAACTTTTCTGTCACAATGCCCAATTTATCTAAATTAGAAATTTAAATGGGAGAGTTACCAAGGAATCACGTCACGACACACGTAGTTCGCTAATGCCACTCAAAATTTTTAAATGATTCTTTTATTCCCTTTTATTCTTTTATTCCCTTGTGCTTATCGCTGCGGTCCGAATTGTATGCCTTCGGCAATTTGGTTCATCACCCGCTCGCTTACCCAATTCTATAGAACCAAAAATCTACTCAAAAAATAATGATCACATGCTTAGTTTTCATTAAAAATTTAAAAGCATTGAGAAATGATTTATATCAAATATTAATTAAAAATAAATTAATTGTAAATGAATCGAATCAGGTAAATATAGAAAAAATAAAAAGTTTGTACGTGAAATAATTAAAAAGTTTAAAAAATTGCAAAAAAATATAATATTAATTCCGTTCGTAACGCCGATTACTAAATATTTCATAAATAAATGCAATAATAATGAAGAAATAAATTGTTATATAATTTATGTCGCATTTATCAGTAATAATAATAATTAATAAGAATAACTAACAATAATCATTAATGGTAAAATTCAGGGGACAAAAAAGCCTAGTGGGTTGGGAGCGCCGATGCTGAGGTTCGATTTTCCGCGGGAGTTAATCTGTACAAAAATTTCCGTGATGCTTGCGACTTACCCGTATTTCTATCGCCAAGGCTTTCCCTGGCCTATTGCCCAATTGCCACAAGTCAGTGGAACGAGTTTAACCAGTAATGATTTAACCAGTAATTTTTTTAAAAAAAAAATTGATAAAATTCAATAGAGTCAACAGCAGAAATAGTAATAAAAAAATAGTAATGACAATTTATAATGATATTGCATAGTTCTAATGAACTATAGTAAGATTCGAATATTCGAAATTCAAATTATTCAAAATTATTGAAATGGGAAATATGCTTGAGAAATAAACAATTTAAGCTAACAAAATTTAAATTTACCATACATTCAGTAACATTTGCAATTATCAGTTTTGAAATTTTTCAGAAGAAAAAGGAAATTAACGCACAAAAAAAAGATAAAAACGTAATTCACCAATGTACCATTTTATATTTCTGCTCAACCCAAATGCATTTTAATGATAAATAACCTGAAAAAAGGGATTTGTTATAACGTAGCGCCCACCGAACTGATAACAGCTGATAAAATCTTGCTTCCTAAAATTTTTGGTCTTTTTAAAATCATTATAAAAAAATTATTTGATTAAAGGAGATAACAGCAAAAGCGAAATATAATTTTAAAAAAATTTTAAAAAATGATGCTATAAATCAATGAAAGAGTACGAAGATTTGTGCTTTTATAATTCTAAAAAAATTTAATATGCTAAAAATTACAAAAATAAATTCATCTAACAAATCAGTTTGACTTGAATTTTCGAGTAATTGAGCTAGATTACTCAAAAAATGCGAAAGAAATGCCGTTTTTGAATAATAAATTATGGATATGAAAAAATTAAGATGAGCTTAAGGAACTTTTTAGCCGATATCATCGGTATTTTGCCTTTTATCAGTTTGTAAATAAAATATTGAATTATTGAATTTAACAAGCTTATGAAAATCTTTTATTATGTCTACCTGGAAATTCTATTGGTTGAAATAGCGAAATAAATTTATTATTCCTTTTTAGCATACAATATAAGGTAAACTCCTTAAAATTTTCGCCAAGAGATCAAAATTGTCGTCAACGAAAGTCCAGTAATTTTTTAACGAACGACTTGTGCCCACATATACTTTAATTCAATTCACTAATTATAATATCACCATATAAAATAAATGGCCTAAAGGGTCGATAAGGAGGAATATTTTGATTGATACACGGAAAGAATTGGGAAATCCTGGCATTCTATAGCATTCTATCGAAAAATTTCGAGAAAAGTCCGATTCAACAATTGTTTATGGACCTATTAATATTTCGCAAAAGCCACGATTGAAGTTTCCTTTAAGCTGAAGTGTCAATTTATGAATGGAGTTCATCTTTATATGTTCAACTGTTTGCTTTCATATTTTTGATAGAAATAATTTCAAAATGTATTTAAAAATAATGGCCTATGAATGTAACGTAAATCCATTATATCTGTCATAATATATCATATTTATTTATTTATTTATTGAAAACCAGCCAAGCAGGGCGCAAACGCCATGTGCTTGCATTAATAACATCAGTTAAAATAACAAATAATACGAATTAATGACAAGTAAAAAAAAAATAATATTAAAATAAAATAAACAATTTAAAGATGAAAGAAAGAGGAAATTACAAAATAATATAATACATCACAATTCGAAATAACTATAATCGTAAAAATCGAGATTTCACTTCCTGCATGATCTGAACTTTTTAAATAATATCATAAATAATATTATCTATTCTTTTTTTGAAGATAGCTAGGGATGGCGCACAAACTATGTCGTTCGGTAATTCCAGAAATTAATATTACGAATAAAGAAATCATGAGTCCTTAATTTGGTTTTTCGGTAATTCCAGAAATTAATATTACGAATAAAGAAATCATGAGTCCTTAATTTGGTTTTGCATATAGGTTTTAGTAATTTTAGCCCATTAGTTCTTGTTGGATTTAAATTTAACTTAAAATTATATTTTGGACAATCTACTTTAAAATCTTAAGCATAAATCTTATAAGCATAAATTAAATCCTGTTTAATGCGACGAACTGGCAGAGAATCCAGGTTATATTGTAGAAGTTCTCTTTTATAATTAAAATTGCAATTAGAGAGGTGCCGTATAAAATATTTTTGGAGTTTTTCAATTATTTTACTTGATTTACGATATCTCGGGAGTAACATGTAGCACTGTAGTCAAAAATTGGCCGAACGAACGAACTTTTTATATTTCGAGAAGAAAATCTTCAGTTTTTTTGCAAACGAACGAAAAATAAAATATTTTTGAGGATTTCTTTACTATGGTCGAAATCGAGATTTTTATCTACGATTATACCAAGATCGGAAATGTGCGAGACTCTACTGATTATATTGCTATTAATAATAAGATTAAGAAAATTGGAACCTTTGGAACTGATATGAAAAACGTTACATTTTTGAAAGGAAAGGGTAATTCGCCTGTCATATAGCCAGCTGGCTATTCTGTTAAGGTCCTCCTGCAGTGGAGATAGGCTATCTGATCTACCATGAGAATAATAAATTTTACAATCATCAGCATAAAGATAAATAGTAAAATTTAGTACCGCATTGGTTACATCATTTATATATAATAGAAAAAGCAATGGCTTGGGGAACACCAGATTTAGCAGGTTTTGTGTCAGAAAGAATGCTCCAGTTATTAAGGTACCTTATAATGCCATAACTATTAAGAGTGATCAGTAATTTGTTATGAGAAACAAAAGCTTTAAGAAAGCTTCAGCTAAATCTAGGTACACAAGTGATACTGTTTTATCATTGTCAATTGATGCAGACCAATCGGAAAGATTTGCCAATATTTGTGAAGAAGTGGATTTTTTTGTACAAAGCCATGCTGATAAGGGGATACATAATTATTGGCATCAAGATAAATAACCAATTTGTTGCAAATCAACCTTTCGAGTATCTTGCTACCAACGCATGTTAGGCTAATAGGTCTATGATTGGAAGGATCATAGGTGCTTCCTTTTTCATGAATGGGAATTATATGAGACAACTTCTAAATCTTGGGATTAAGGCCAGATTTCATAATGTTTTTATAAATTAAAAATTTGGTTATAGCATCCACTGCAATCAGAGAAAATTTTTCCTGTTTTATTTTTCCTGTTTGATATTTTAGATAGAAGATGGCACACACTTCTCGCGGAAGTCCCGGAAAATTTTCGTAATATAAGGAAAAAAGAAACAAACTTCAAGATCTGAAGATAAGTTCAGATACTCAGTGAATTCTTAAACGACATTCATCGATTTATATTTAAAATAAAAATTTCTTTTTGCTGGAAAAAGCTTAGGTAGTATAGCATGCAAATTTCCATTGTACTACGAATTTCTTTTTACGTGGTTAACTTCGTGGTATAAGTATAAATGGACCGCTAGCACCAGTGGAAGTTCCTTAAGAAATATGAATGAATTCCTTAATTTTTTAAAAAGCATTCCATATTTCTCTGGGCTGCTTATGCGTTGGAAAAATTATTGAGTCTTCGCTATTTTATTTTAGTTTTACTTTATAGTCTTCGCTATTTTTCATAAATCAATAATTATAAAAGAAAATTATTAATTTAATATCGATATGATTTAAAAAACAACCGTTTTTAAGATAATTAGCAGAAACAATAAATTCTTATTATTTGCATATATTTCCGATGGATTTTTGAACAGAAATGTTAATACCAGATTAAAAGAATTTGGCGTATGAATAAACATAATTTTATAGATTCAATTGTTTTATTTTGAGAAAGTATACAGAAAATCGCTATTTATTTAATTTCACGCTGATAGTGGCACAGAAACCCGATGTGGAATGCAGTTCGAAAAAAAAAATCTATAAGTCAGAAATGTTGCCGCTCGTTTTTTTCTTTATTTCTATTATCCATACTATGAATAGTAGTGGCGCTGTTGTCATTGGAATATTTTAGCGACCATCTGTTCATCCACAGCTCTGCAGAAATAGAGATGATCTTGTAGGTAATGAAATATTCAAAAATGGCGATAATCCTGGAGATATAGCTGCAACATTGGTAGCACAAGCCAATCCGTAAGAGTTTTTATACTGATGTGCATTATCCAGTTTTTGAAAAAAAGGAAAATTCATTATTGTATGCCTAATTGCCTTACAAAGAAAAATTTTAAAAATACATACTACATATTTTCAGGGGGGCAAATTACTTGGTCAGTCAATTCTGTGAAAACGTTACCTTAAAAAGCCTCGCACTTCGCGAATGTGCATTTTGTTGCGTATTTTGTTGTAAAACAAAGCATTTTGATTGTTCAAATGGTAAGTTTACTTTATACAGTTAGAAAGATTGGAGGTTAATAAATAAAGGATAAATGTTTGCAAGATTTTTCTTGATCTTTTTTTTTCAGCAGCATAGAGCGAAGGATGCTTGTCGACATTTGAACAATGGTGGCAATTTGTGCACAGATCAGCGATTGATTTGAATGATATTGTATTAAGAAGATGCCCACATACTTGTGGACTCTGCGAGGTGCGCATGGAGCTTGTCCAGACCAAGACGAGCACTTAACGATATGACTCCTTGGGAACCCAACTTGTAACACAGCTTTCATGAAGAAATCTTGCAAAAAGACATGTAAATTAGGAGACTGCTTGCCAGGTTCTTTTTTGATATATCCATAGATTGCTCGCATTATTAAAATTTATGAAAATTTAAAATTTATTTCTATAAAATCTTTCATTTTCAGAGAATAATCGAACAACTCAATCGCCAACATGTTTCGATTCAGATTCTCGATGCCCAAAAAATGCCAAATAAATGCCAATTGTTTTATCGGTGAAGCAATTTGCTTGAAAAGATCCATATAAAAAGGATGCAAAAATATTGTTAAATCAAATCAAATTAAATCAAAGTAATTGTGATGTTCATTTTCCCTTATTTTTTCTCTCCTTTTATATTCAGTTGACATAGAACAAGATCAAGATAATATCGGTATAGAACGATATGCGATATCGAAGGTTGTGGTGAATAATGCACTACAGATCCGAGTGGTTGTCGCGATCTTGACGCCGACTCCTGTACACTATTCGCTCTCAGTATTCCAGAAAATTTTATGAAAAATCTTAGCAAGTAAAATTCTTAATAAAAGGCTTTTTTTCTATATTAATTTTCCATGCTTTTCCAGCCTTTTATGTTAAAATCAATTTTCGAATATTAACAAATTACCATTAAAATACTTAACAGACAAGAATTTTTTATCTTATTCCTAATAGAAAAAGAATGCAATGAAATAGATTTATTAATCAATGGAACCATAGAATAGTAGAAAGCTTGTCGATTGAAAAAATTACAAGGTCGCTGCGAATTGCTAAAAATATTCGAAGCTTGCCGAAGATCGTTGCACAAATTCACCTGTAAAGTGCCGCAAGACATTGGACTATAATTGTGCGAATAAAAGTTATATTGTATTTTTTTTTTTAATAAATATTTCGATGAATATTACTTGTAAGTAAGATTTGTTGAACAACACAAAAATCTTTTTCCTAACTAAAAATAAGGAAAAAAAAATTTTGAAAATTTTTAACGAAGAGTTTCTCAATTTATGCAATCAATTTTTACCACCAAAATTTTTAGGCGATAAAGTAATAAATAAAAAATAAAAATTTAAGTAAAAGCTCTTCTCCATTATGTATTTACAGCCATTCTTTGCTGTAAAAGAAGCAAAGAATAATCAGTGGACAAATTCATCTTATAGCACACTTTATCACAGCAATAGCACTTGCAGGAAAATGTAAATTATATTATTCCTCTTATGTGCAGAAGTGCAGTGTAAGTGCAGGTGAATGTGCAGAAATTCAGGAAAATGTAAATTATATTGTTCCTCTTATGTGCAGAAGTGCAGTGCAAGTGCAAGTGAATATGCAGAAATTATTATAGAAAAAATTCATAGTTCACTTAGGTTTTTAAAATTTTCCCCAATCCGTTCACATTGATTTTTGACCATTAAGCAAAAAAGACCATTCAGAATACAGTAGAATACCGTTTTAATGGGGTAATAATTCTTCATTTACTCAAATTATTACTGCTTGTATACACTTTTGCCAGGCACGTATAAAAGTAAATGAAATATAAAGAATAACCGAGAATAACCGTTTAGTGATTCCGCTTTCCGACTATATGAAAATTTTCCTAATTAAACAAAAATTATTTGAAAAAAGATAATTTTGTGCAAAAATAATGTTGTAAAAGCGTAGATGAAGTAGCAAAATTAAAATTTACTTACTTTTAAAAAAGGTAAAAAAACTATTTTAAAAAAATCAAAACAAAAAGACATTTTTCACTGAAGAAAAAATGGGGCAATTTGTTATTTTTGCTATTGACTTTTGCTAAATGAATCTTTTAAATCTGCTCTTAAAGCGATGAATTTCGCGCAATTTCTTATTTGCGGATAAAATAACGGAATGTCATTTTCACTCTTCTCTTCTTCATGAACGATTCAACGATTAATTCGTTTTCAGAAATATTCCCTGAGAATTTGCCTGGGTGAAATTGGAATATAAATTACGTTATTTGAACGAAATACTTTTCTTTCTTATTGAATACTTAAAATATTTAATTTGTATGAGTTTTTGTATCACATTTAATTTACTTTTTGCATTTATAAAATTTGTATTTATAGGAATAATTTCGAAAATTTGAAAAATGAAAAGTGGTATTGAAAATGAAAATATTTATTTTACAATTATGAAATGTTAGAGGTTAATTAAAGCAATGCCTTCGTATGTTTCAGTAAAGCACCATTATTATTTATCCATTATATAAATCACTAAAGCATTATCAAACAAACACAGGCCAAACGACAAAATAGCAACGATGCGGAATAATTCGAGATAAATGGCGACATATTAGCGAGAACAAAATAAATGAAAATTTTCTAAAAGCTATTACCTAATCCTTCTAAACTAGAAATTTAAATTGGAAAAATCAGAGAAGTATAAAAATGATGAAAATAAAAATGAATGAAAAATGGCACAGATACTCCAATGGATCATTCATCATTATTTGAAAAATTTTTTTCAGAAAAATTAATGCGAAAACGAATAATGCTAAACTTTATGCCAGTTCTTCTAATGTTCTCTGTCAATTTACCTAAATAATTTGTAAAATTAAAATTAAAAATTAATTAATTAAATTAAAATTAAAATTAAAATTAAAAATTAAAAATTAAAATTAAAAGAAAAAAATTAAAAAATTAAAAAAATTAAATTAAGGAATGAATTATTGCAAAACATTAATATTTCAGCCAAAACATTCAAATAAATAAATAATAAATACATTAAGTCATCTAAATAAATATTGAATTCTTCACTATTGTATTATACGCAATAATTATTATGTAATAAATTGTTTAATTTATTACGCATTAATCAATAATAATAGCAATTAATGGCAATAATCAGCAATAATAATTAACAATGATTCAATAGGGTAAAAAATATTAACAACTAATTATTATTGATAGGAATCAATAATAATTTGTAACTATAATAAGCTAATATAATATAATTATAATATAATCTTCTTCCTCTCACCATTACTAGTTAGGCTGGTTCCAACGATTACAATGTTAAGACGCTTCCAAGCAGCACGGTCTGATGCCATCATCGACAGTTATAGAAACCATTCCTTTTTCCATCGTCTAAGTCCATCTATTACTGGTCTACCTATACGCTCAATCTTTTTTGACCGTATCAGTGCAGGTCTTGATTGGTCCACCTTTTGACACCACCCAACACGGTTTAACAAGTAATGAAATATGTATTAACTCTTGTGTTGGGCGACAAAGAATTGTCTTCCAGCGAAGGCGACGCTCTGTGATGGTACTCTTAATGCAAGTGGTATTTAAAGGAAGATGGATGCGATCATGTGATATCTTATCCGCTCGATGGATCCTTAATAAACAATATAATAAGATTAATGGTTCAAAATTATTAAAATGAGGAAATGTGCATTTTGAAAGAAAGCATAGGCCATGTAAATTCAAGTTTACCATAGATTCAACAGCACTTACAGTTATTAGTTAGAAATTTTTTAAAAGTAAATTAAAACACACAGAAAAAGATTGTACGAAAAACATAATTTACCAATTTACCTTTTCATATTTCCGTTTAATCTAAATATATTTTAATAATAATAAACCTGAAAAAAAAAGTTGTTGTATAAAACCAAACCCACTAAACTCATAACAACTGATAAAATCTTGGTTTTTAAAAATTTTTTTATCCAATTTCTTTAATTTTTTTTATTTTTTTAAGATTTATTTAAGATTTGGCCTTTTTAATCATTGTAAAACGATTATGCAAAAGGGAAATTTAAGAAAATGATACTATAAATCTATAAAAGAATAGACAGATTTGTTGCTTTTATAGTTTTCAAAAATTTAAGATTAAAAATTACAAAAATGAACTCACCTAGATGATCAGTTTAACTTGATTTTTATCTAGCAAATCGCGTAGTTTTTCCGTAATTGCGCTAAATTACCTAAATTATCTAAGATGATTGATAAAAATACTGTTTTTGAATGATAAATGATGGATATGGCATTTTTTTTTTAGCCAAAAATTAATTGAATGCCTTTTTTATGATGCTAAGTTTATCTATATTATCAAACTGTAGTAATTAGAATATTGAATTATTGAATTTATCAAATTTGCTGCAAAATCTTTCATTAGCTGAAACTTCCTGGAATTTCCCCTTGCTCTTTTCCTTTGGTATGCATTCACACCTATTCTTTGCAATCAAATATGGAAAGAATAGTGAACGAGGGAAGCCTATAGCAGATTTATTCAGAAAAATGGATTTATAAAAAAATTTAAACGATATTTTTACTCTTATGTCCGTTATTATAGAAAAAATTCGAATTTCACTTAGGTTTTTCGAATGTTTTTTAATCTTTTCATATTAATTTTTATTAATAAATAAATTAATCACTCAGCAAGAATGGCCATTTAGAGTAAAGTGGAGTACCATCGTACATTACAAGAAAATATTGAATTATTGAGTTTATCAAATTTGCTGCAAAATCTGTAATAATTCATCATTTACCCGAATTATGTTTATATTGCTTCTATCAAGAAGAAATAAACAAACGCATTTCATTAGCATTTCATTGTTCTTTTTTGACCATATAAAAATTTACATAAATAAACAAAATAATTTATTTATTTTAAATTATTTATATAAATTATTTATTTAGAAAAAAGGATGAGAAAATAATTTTGCGCAAAAATCATTTTGTAAAAGCGTAAACGTTTTAATAAAAAATTAATAAAATAAGTTTCAATAAAATTACGGATTTGCTTAAATATAAATGAAGAAAAACCATTTCAAAAAAATCAAAAGCAAAAAAAAATTTCTAATGAAGAAAAATGAGGTAATTTATTTTTGCAACTGGTTTAGCTGAATGAAACTTTTAAAATGCGCCCTTAAGGCATAAATCTCGGCGATGAATGAGAGATCGATTCAACTTTTTTTTGAAAAGAACTAACTAACTTCTGGTAAAGCCTATTTAATTGTTTTGCAATATATTTGCTTCGTACT